TTTTTTTTTTTTTTAAGAATTATTTTATTTATTATTATTATTTTTAACTTGGCCAGAGAGAAAGTGAGAAAGGAAGCTACCGGGTCTAGGACTTGAACCGTGATCTGCCATGTGGGAATCTAGCACCTTAACCACCATGGCACCTGCCAGCCCCTTTAGAGCTCTTTTATACTACTGGGTGGATTATGAGAGGTCTTCAAGAAGTTAAAGGGTAATACACGTTATGAAAAAACAGGATTTAAAATTTTCTTTCCCATTGAAATAAACTCATTTTAATTTTATTTTTCCAAGAACTTTTTGAAGTCCCCTGGTATATGTTGATTACTGTAGAAGTGTGAACAGGGTATACAGAAAAACTGGTCTGGGTCAAAACTTAGACTGGGCTGGTCCATAGCCCAGAAACTAGGTACTACATAGAGGAAGCTGGATTCCACATGGACAACCAGGGTTTGAGTTCAAGCCCCAGTAGCCTGAAGAGCATGTCAGGTGCACATGCATGTGCTTAACATGCTGATGGAGTACAGAATGGGAGGAAAAGGATTGTGGTGTGACCAGGCCCCATTGGATGGTACTTCCTCTTCATCTCCCATGCACTCAATATGCATCTTTTGGCCATAAAAAACAAAACAAAACAAAACAAAAAACAACCTCAGACTAAGTCAAGAGTGGTCTGATTAAAGCATTTACCTTCTAAAGTGAGACTGTACTTTACCATCCCAGGAGGTACTTGTATTTTTCAGGAGATTAACTCTATAGAATTGATATCTTGTAAAGATGATTCAGGGACCTTCCTCCTCCTCCTCTTCCTCTTCCTCCTCGTCCTCCTCCTTTTTTTTTTTTAAAGTAGGAGAGAAAGTGGGAGAGAGAGGTGTTTTAATGTCTCACCATGTCACAATCCTCTTGCCCCAGCTTCCCATTGGCTAGGACTGCAGGTGTGGGTCACTGCACATGCCTGCCTGGGCTGGGCTGGGAATTGAACCTGGATATCCCATGCAGCCTCAGCCATCATGCAGCAGGTGGTGTCACTGCAACTGGGTCCTTCTTTCCTCTTACAGTGTGTTTTGCCTGCCCTTTCTCCTCCCTCTTCCTGGCCCCACCCCCATTCTCTAGGGAGATAAATGCAGAAAACCTACTCTTTCCGGTAAGGCACAGTGCCCACAGGGCCCCAGGTCCTCCTGGAGGAGTGGTACCCCACACTGGATTGTGCCCGCAGGACCCACTCTTATGAAAGTGTAGCGAGGTTGATTCAGCAAGCTGTGAGTTACTGCACAGAGATATAAAGGGGCTTCTGTCTGTATTGTTTGCTGTTGAGGATCTTTTCATGTTTATTAAGTCTGAGGACCTCTTCTGTTTATAAAATGTCATTTTATGTCGCATTAGACATTTTTTAAAAAAGTATAGAGCAGTACATGCTGTGTTGGAAGTATATGTGTCTAAGAGATCTTTATTAAGAACTGTCTTGGTGTGTGTGTATTTGGCAAATATATATACACACACACTCCCACCTAGAGGTTTATCTGATGCCCAAAATGTTCTAGTTGTTCCAGAATTAGATGGTGGTTAGTGGACCATAGTAACAGCTAGTTTCCTATAGCTAAAAATACTGAGGAGAGAATAACAGTAAAAGAGTAAAAGCATAACTTTGTCTGCAGTGGCTTGATACGTAAATACTGAAGGTTAGCCATAGAATTATGTTTGGTATGACATTGAAGAAATCTGTCAAAGAACTATTTGAAACTGCACCGAGGATACTTTTTCCTTTGAGATGTGTGTGTGTGTGTGTGTGTGTGTGTGTGTGTATGTGTGTGTGTGTGTATGTGTGTATGTTTGCACATTAAATAAATTTATACCCAGCAAACTAGCATTCTGTCTGTGTAACACTTTAACTCTTTGTATTTTGTCCTTTCATTTGCAGCTTATGGGAAGGTATTTCTAGTTCGTAAAATCAGTGGTCATGATACTGGAAAGCTGTATGCCATGAAAGTTCTGAAAAAGGCAACAATAGTTCAGAAGGCCAAAACCACAGAACACACGCGGACAGAACGACAAGTCCTGGAACACATTAGGCAGTCGCCATTTTTGGTGACATTGCACTACGCTTTCCAGACAGAAACCAAACTTCATCTCATTTTAGGTAAGTGTCATTTGTCATTAGACTTCATGAAGACATTTTTGTCTTGATCTTGAGTTGCAGTGTACTCAGTAGGCAGCATTTCAGACTTGGGAGAAGTGAAATATTTTCGTTCTCATTCTTTTTCCGAGGGAGGTGTGTTTTTATTTATTTATTTATTTATTTATTTATTTATTTATTGGACATCATGCATTGCTCTGGATTGGAGATCTCCCAGCAGGGTGGATTTATATACTTCTACCCCATACTCTTTTTCAGTTTTATTGTAGGGTGTATACGCTCATCAGAGAGAGAAGAGAAAGTGAGAAATCACCTCCTGGGGTCAGGGAGGGGGTGGTCATGCCACAATCCCTTCTCCTTCACTTTCCTCTTGGGATTTTGGGCATACACACACATGCACCTAGTGTGTTTATCAAGCCACCAGGTCCACGATTTGAACTACTCAATTGTCCACATGGGATCCAGCTGCCTTAACCTCCACACCACTTGCTGGCCTCTATACTCTTTTTTTTTTTTTTTTTAATCTTAAAAAGCCATTGAATCATTGGGAATATCTGCCTTCCTAGGCAGTGTGCTTCCACTGTGTGAAGAACTGAATAGTGATGTAGGCCCCAGTTTCTGCTTTAGGGGTTCTCAGTAATGAACAGGTTTGGGCTGACAAGGAAACATTTATGGAAGCCAGTAAAGGGGGGAAAATGCAAAAGAAAAGACTTCTATTCCTAGAAAAGCTTTGCATCCTCTGGTGAAACCTGAATGCAGTGAGAATAGCCCCCCAGCAGTTAACCTGTTGATCACACCCATTTCCACCCCAGGTACTTTCTGAATTTTTTCCTTTCCTTCATAGAGTTGAATCATTGCATTTAATCTTTGCAAAAGTCCTCAGCACGCTTTGCCAGATTGCTTTGCAGAGAAGCTAAGTTCCTACTAGAATTAAAAAGCAGTACATCTAGCATTGTACTCTGCCAGTGTTGACTATTTCATCTGTTATCGTTTCGGTTTGTCTGTTATTTGGTCATTTTGCATGTGTCAGTTTGCATGTATTCAGTCATTGGAAAAGTCATGATGCAGTTTTGCATAAAAAAAGGTAGAAAAAAGTATGTCATGACTTTTCGGACATCCCAGTATGTGTTCTAATTGCTGCTTAGAACTGTGGTGAGGATCATAGGGGCTAGAATTTCAAGTTGTGCACTGGAAGCATTACCTACTTTTTGAGGGTCTACAGTATGCTGGTCATTACGCTAGATGTTATCCATAGTGTCACTGCCCCTACAAGGACACACTGCCAGATCCCCTCATTCATGATGGCAAAGGTTCTGGAAGCTGCCATGTGCTGAAGTTGCATATCTCGTATAAGCTTGAAAATTAAGATTGGAACACCAGTCTGACTCATTCTGAAGTCTGTCTTCTGTTTGTCAAACAAGCCTATATTACTTGATTATTGGTATTACAAAATTAATATATATATATATGGCAATTTTATTGAATGGTTGTTCTTATTCTGAAAATTATACTTTTATTAATGATGCCTAAGATAGCATTCACTTTTGAATCATGAAATTACATTTCAGCTCATTTTTCAATGCTTATGGTCAACTAGTAAGCCTAAATCTTTTAGAAGAGCACTGTTTAAAAAGTTCTTGGAAAATGAGTACTATCCAAAGACTTATGCATAGATTTTAAACCTTTTTTATGCCAAAACAAACTTGTACTTTCAGATTTTCCTGTGAATTTTTAGAAGTCTTCTACAGGTAGGGCACAGTGTCCCCTGTCCTCACAGACCCCACTCATGTTACCGTCTGCCTGTTGTTCCAGGAGTCCATGTCCTTTAGCTCTTTACTCTGCCCCCATGTGTATCTGCTAGACGTTATTTACTGATTTTTAACATGTATTCCTTTCATATCTTTACTGGCATGATTGATACGGATGTTGTAGGGGACTGACCATTTTAGTACAATGGATTTAAACAGTTTGAGCAGCAAGACCCTTCCCACAAATGAAAACACAGAAATTCAAAAGAAAAGCAAATAGTGAGTAGCTCTTCTTGAATCTGGGGCTAAGGGCACCAGACAAATCCTGCCAGTTTGTTTCTATTCCTCACCCTGCAAGAGTTTCCGAGGAAGCTTTAGGGAGTCCATAAAAATGGTTTAACAAATGATTGTCTTGTTGAGTAAACTCGTAAATGGAAAATCGCACACCTAAGGTTGGACGAGCCACAGCTAGAAAGAAGCTAGGCTCCTGGACTCTGCACCATATGCCATGGCCTACTCCTTCCCTCCCTTCTCTTCCTCTTCCTCTCTCTCTCTCCTTCTCCCTCCTCTTTCTCTCTGTCTTTTCTGTTCTACCTCTTTTTACTCTCTCTTCTCTCCCCTGCTGTTCTTTCCCTTTCCTTCTCTCCTCTCTTCCTCTGCCTACTTCTTTCTCTCCTCTCTCTCCTTCTCTCTCTCTGTCTCTCTTCTTTTCTCTTATCATAATTGCACTCAGTATTTTTTTAAATTGCGTCTAGTATAGTTTTTTAAATCTTCTTAATTGTTAGAAAATGTGTGTGCTTGCCTGAGGGAAATGGGGTGGGAGGTGTGGAGGAAGCACCCCTCATGGGGCCTGGTCACCTTGCAACCTCTTCTCGCCCATTTCTCCATCCGGTCAGGATTTAGGGCATGTGTGTGCATACACGCCTCTGACATGCTTTTCTAGCTGCTGGGGCTGCAATTTGAACCACAGTCAGGCATGGGGGATCTAGCTTATTTAATCACTGGACTACTGGGTCAGCCCTGTAAATCATGTTTTTAATTTAAGAGTAGATAAGTAAAATATTAAGTTTTTGATTAGAAAATAGTAGTTCTTAATGATACTGTTTTTCACTTCCTGGCTCTCCATTATCTTTGCCCTCTCAATGGCCCATGTATAAACAAGTTCAAGACAAACAAGAATACCTATTTCTCAGGCATGGAATGTAGACTAGAAAACATATTCATTTCATAATAAAGCACGCCCTTCTTGTTTTATTTTATTTATTTTATTTTAGAGTTTTGCCATCGGGTGCATGCACACACTGGAGATCATGAGAGGGAAAGTGAGAAATCACCATTCACAGAGGATGGCCAAGCTACAATCCCTTCTCCTCCATTCTCCCCTTGGGATTTTGGGCCTGTACACACATGTGCCCGGTGTGATTTTCAGGCTGCCAGGTCCAGGATTCAAACTGTGGTCCATCGTGTGGGAGTCCAGTGCCTTAACCACTATGCCACCTGCTGGCTCCAGCATACCTGCTATCTCCTATCCACACAGATTCCTTTAACATCATTCCTCTTTGTACATGTTTATAGTCATTGTTATTGACTGTGAAGATGAAAACTTCTCAGCTATTTAGAGCAGGACTCTATTGTAAGTGGCGTTTGCAGTGCTCTGTGCACACCAGGTGAGTGTCTCGATGCTGTGCTGGGCCCTTAGTCCCTGTAGTGGTGCTCCGGGGCTGCCGTAGCAAAGCCGACTGGGAGGTTTACACCCCTGGAACTTATTTCCTCCTTCCTTCTGGGAGGCCGGAAGTCCGGGATCAAGGTGCCAGCAGGCTTGGTTTCTCTTGAGACCTCTTTCCTAGTTGTGCGTGGCCATCCTCTTACTGCCTCTTCACTTGGTCGTCCCACTGTGCCCCAGTGTTGCTCTCTGTGTCTGGATGTCCTCTTTCTGGAAAGACACCGGTCAGATTAGATTAGGGTCCACCCTAATGGCCCCATTTTAACTCTAAATACATCACATTCTGAGACCCTTGAGGGTTAGAGCTTCAACATAGGAGTTTTGAGGAGACGTAGTTAAATTAACTGTGGCAGTCTCTAAAGGCTGATTGATTTACTGATTTTATCAAGGTTCTTTTGTGAGTTTATAGTGACAATTCACATGTCTAGCTCTCAGGGGCCCAGCTGGCCCTTTGTCTAATGACTAAGTTAATAGTATAAACCTTTTCTGTTTTAAAGTCATGTTTTAAAAAGGATTATTTATTTTTCTTTATTACTATTATTAGTATTTTTTTATTTTTTCTAGGGAATGTGCCCTTACCAGAGAGAGACCACGGGGGGGGGTGGGGGGGCACAGGAGGGAGGAAGGGAAGGAAAGTGAGAAAGCAAGCTATCAGATCTGGGACTCGAACTGTGATTGGCCATGTAGAAGTTCAGTGCCTTAACCACCACACCACCTGCTGGCCCCCAAATGTCACGCTTTAAAAAAATATATTGCAAAAGCAGTATATATGCATACAGAAGACAGAGGAAAACAAAAATAAGAAAGTAAAAACATATTTTTACTACTCAGTTTTCCTCATTAGATAGCCCTCTCTTATTACTTAGAATATATCCTTCTAGATCTTTTCATCTGTGTGTCTATGTATGTGTATTTTATCAAAATGAGATTGTCTAGTACATATTATTTGTAACCAGTTTTATTTTTCCTAGCTAATGCTGTTGATCTTTCCTGGCTAATAAATTTTCATTTCATTAATACCCAATCGTGCACATTTTTTGTAGATATATAACAATCCCCCTAAAATGTGGTAATATAAACAGTGATTTATTTTCTCATGAGTCTATGGGTTGGCTGGGCAGTTCTTTGTTTCTTTAGCCTGGACTCACTCACATGGGCCATCTCTCAGCAAGGAAGTTGGCAGGGCCCGAACTGCCAAGATGGCTTCACTTGGTCTGGCCGTTGGTGCTCACTTTTTTCTCTTCCATTGGCCCCTCATCCTTCACTGCAGCAGATCAGCTTCTTTATTGCATGGCAGTCACAGGGCACCTCACTAAGAATGGCAAGAGGGGAAGAATGGTAGCTGAAAGGCCTCTTGAGCCAAGGCCCTGCAACTCACACAGCCTCACATTCAACACAAGGCCAGCCTAGATTGAAGGGCAAGGGAAAAGACTACATCTTGATGAGGGAACTGGAAAGAATTCATGGCCACCTACCTTGCAAGTCCGTGTTCAGATTTCACCCATTGACCTTTATAGCTTGTTTGTCCAGTT